GAACACTTTCTCTCTCTCTCTTTCTCTCCCTTTCTCTCTCTCGCTCTCTCTCTCTCTCTCTCTCTCTCTCTCCCTTTCTCTCTCTCTCTCTATCTCTCTCTCCCTTTCTCTCTCGCTCTCTCTCTCTCTATCTCTATCTCTCCCTTTCTCTTTCTCTCTCTCTCCCTTTCTCTCTCTCTCTCTCTCTCTCTCTGTCTCTCGTAATACGTTTATGTGTAACGTCGCCAAAAATATTTTTTATGTAATGTTATGTATTTATTTTTTCTCGAACCAAGCATTCGAAATTTTAAATTTATTACGATTCACCATTGTAACTGAAGTTGTGAAGGGAATAGAAATAGTGTAAGAGAAAAATTAAGACTCCATGTGAATATTCCACTTTATTGCACCATTGTGCGCTTTGAATACTCGAAACAAGAATCGCTATAATATTTAAGTATGCAACTGCATTCTTAAATATTATAGTGATCCTCGGGGGTATTTAATTAATATTCTCGCGTATTAAAACGGTCCAATAAAACGCGTTTAAATCCAAATTGATCGTCTTTTTTTATCTATATCTATATCTATACTAATATTATAAAGAGGAAAGATTTGTTTGTTTGTTTCGAATAGGCTCCGAAACTACTGGACCGATTTGAAAAATTATTTTTCCATTAGAAGCCGACATTGTCCCTGATGAACATAGGCTACTTTTTTAAATATTTTTTTTAATTATTTTTTTTTTGGTTTCATGTGTGTTTTAATGTTTCCGAAGCGAAGCAAGGGCGGGTCGCTAGTTGCTAAGATAAGTATAGGAATTGACGGCCAAAATAGTGTTAAGTCCGGAGCCCATAGACATCAACAACGTAAATGGCGCCGCTCAACTTAAGACTTATTTTTAATTATATTTGTAGTAAAGCTATATTAGGTCTAAATAATTGTTTGAAAATTCTGTTTAATAAATCATACACTCGGGCCTTCATTTTAGAAAAATGAAGGTATTTTATATATATTCATAATAATATGCGTATAGCATGTAATTTTTTTTTTTTTTTTGCACTTGTAGACAGACGGACATACGGTGAATGGTTACCGTCGACCATGGACTTCAGCAATACCAGGGGCAAAACCAAGCCGCTGCCTACCGCATAAATAGATATATTTTATTTGCAAAAGTCGAAATGCCTCTGGTATCGTGAAATATTAGTTTTATCTTTACACGAAAGTGAAAATAAATTATATTTAACGCAAACTGATTTTATACTCGACTGTACGCGAACCGTGCCACAGACAGAATAGCGATAGTTTAATTTACATCAAGACTGTACTGAACGATATATTCAATTTAACGTTCCACAATCAAAATTCCGTAGCTACTATGCCATCCGCGCCATTGCAAGTTGAAAATAACGGTCACGATTTTCGAGAAAGAAAAAAAAAATGTGCAGCTCAAATAAGGAATCTGGTCGAGCTCGTCATATCACTTTCCATCAACGGTAAATTTTTACTACAACTACGTGTCTATGAAGTAATTAAAACGGTTCGCGTTTGGCCGTGCTGCTTTTTAACTGTAACCGCGTCTCGCTGGGAGAGAAAAAAAAAAAATCGCGAATAGTGAATTGGCGACTTTATCAAAACACGCTGCGCTCGGAGTTCGGTGACCTCGCGTTTTGTTACTGCCCGATATAATGGCACGGAGCTATATACATCGAATAAATACAATCTACAATTGGTAGCACTGTGCAATCTACAATGGTCACGAAACGCTGGCTCTTTGTGGTATTTCGTTCGACAAAAAAAAAAAAAAAAACTATACTGGCGCTGACATCAATTAGGAGGATGCATTCAAAAGAGGCTACTGACATTTGAATAGGCCTACCTACGGTGGAACGAGTTTCCGTGGTAGCGGCGTAATTTTATTGTTTCGCGAAGCAGATCAAAAAGTCTAAGCGTTACTACCGTTAGGTGTGAATGTGCCGATAGCGGAAACGCTCGTCAATTTTATAAGTCCCTACTGGACGTCGATTCTGGTTGAGCAGTGGTCAGTGACGTATAACCGTAGCCGACGTTTGCTCATACGAATTTAAAAATCGAAATTACAGAGTACCTTCTCGGAAGTTCTTTATAATTTCGTACTGGTATTTCCGCGTATTTTTTATAAATTCTTTTTTGTTAATTAAAAATATTACGTTTGATATGCTTTCGGCAATGTAAGTTTGAAACAATTTATTTTAATTCGTAGCCTAGCCGTTGATAACGCCGTTTTCTATGCTTTGTATCGAGAATTTGATTGATATGAGTTTTTTTAAATTATTGATATGAATTTAATATGGCGTCTGGACGCAATATCTTACATTTGGAATCATGATGAGTTTTTGTTTTAATTACTTGAAGGACGGTGCAGTCTTACCATTTCTAGTTCGATCTTCAGACACAAGTCACTTTTTAGTAATTATGAAATTAATTATGAATTACCTAATAGAAATAATAGCAATATTCAAAATTATATAGCTTTAATTAGTTACAAGGCGTGAATCAATCGATAAGTATGTATAATTGTAACGGAGCTGCAATTTTAGTAATCCATACTTTTGTGAGTATGGTTTTTTGATTAAGGACAATTCACTTTATGTACTCGTGGGCTTATTTATGTAACTGTTCAATATGTATTAAAAAATCCAATAAATAAAAATTGAGTAATTTGAAGCGACGGCAGACAATACAAAATTAGCGTTCGACCAGATAACTACTTCTCTGTAAATGAAATTGTCATTATTATAATACATAATACAATATTTGCGATCAATTTATCAAACTTGCAATCAAAACAATATAATTTATTGTTCCGAAACAGTCTCGTAGTACGAAAACCGAGCCAAATAACTTACATGATTGATCTACAAAATAAATCGTGCGGGGCTCATTGCGAATTCTAGTTTCTCTATGGTTTGTACCTGGCTTTATGAAATTATGTTCGCTTCAAGACGGCATTATTCAATATCAGAATTAATATTAAATGCTTATCGGTACTGTCTACAAGTTTAGTTTCAATCCTTTAACATTGTGTTTAGTGAAGACATCAGTTAAATAATAGATAAATTGACAAAAATGGGTATTTGATGATAGCTTAAAAAAATCAAAATTTGTGGACTTATTGAAGGCTTTTTTTCCTCGGTTGATCGTAAGCGTGCTGGGCAACGTACTTACTTGTAAGGGAAATTAGGTACCTGCTGCTAGAATTCGAAAAACGTTACAGTTTATATAAAAATCATAGATCAGACTAGAACGGTTCCGGAATCAGAAAAAAAAAATCGCTTTTTCTGCTTCAGTAATGTTCTTGTTTTAATCAAAAATAATATAAATGCCTTGCGTCAATAATCTGAGGGTCGTGGCCTCATGAGGCTTTTTTGAGAAAATACACATAGTGAGGTCCCGCGACCTTCCTTCCACGGCAGTGCTTTTGGAAGAGATTTAATTCTTCGAGGCCGCTGAAGCCTTATTTGGGTCCGGCTAATTGACCGCCGCCAGACATTCGGCGTTGACTGTTTTATGGTGGAAAGGTCGAACTCCAATTCAACCTTCCTCTTTTCTCATCCGGGCTTGAGAACCGGCATTAGCAGAGTTGATATAAATATAAACGAACAGTGTAATTATTTTGTAAAAACAAAAAAGTTAACTAAAAGAGATTCTAAGTAAGTGACTTAAGTAAATAATTCAGCTACTAAACAAGCAAAAGAAATTCACGAACGCGTATTCTGATCTCAAAAAAAATAAGAAAATGTTTGATCATCAATATTCTTTGTAATAAATCATCCGAGCAGTGAATACATACAGAACTTCTAAATTACGCTAGATCCCACTGTTTAATCACTAAATACACACAATTTGAGGCGATTAATAACAACAGCTCGTCATTAACGTGAACAAGTTTTTTATTTTTTATTGCTTAAATAGGTGGACGAGCTCACAACCCACCTGATGTTAGTTAAGTGGCTACTAGAGCCCATAGACATCTACAATGTCAATGCGCCGCCCACCTTGAGATATAAGTTCTAAGGTCTCAGTATAGTTACAACGGCTACCCCACCCTTCAAACCGAAACGCATTACTGCTTCACGGCAGAAATAGGCGGGGTGATGGTACCCGTGCGGACTCACAAGAGGTCCTACCACCAGTGAAGGAGTGAGTGAGTTGTTAGGTTTTGTTTGAACTGCTTCATTCGCGATTCTGTTTTTGACGATCAATTATTCAGGCTGTCTGTCTGTCTGTCTGGCTACGGACTAATTTACGGCGAGATAAAATCTTTGAGTTTTTAAACGCATTTTTCCGTATCGCGAGTAATTACCACTCAGCTGCTCACTTGACTACGGCCACTTCATAAATTACATTACATTAACAAATGCTTTTTTTTTGCTTTTTTACTGGTTTACAATGTTGACTGTGTTAAGAACGGATACAAGTAATGCGCTGCTCTTCGAACTAGGAAATATCAATGCTAAAAGCTTAATTAACACATTAAATTAAATTGGATCATTTAGTAGATAAATAATTCGTTTAGGAATGACGTGTATTGAAACCCTTGTAAATCCTTATAAAGGCAAATGAGCTGCGAGGACTTGTAATTAGACCTGAACAGTTTCAAATTTTGTTGACAATATCTGTCAGGTTACATGTTAATAATAATCATAATAATCAGTTCGACGAATAAGTTAGTAAAGATAAGCGACCCGTTGGAATCAGACACTAGATTACGTTTCAGCTATCGACACCGACGATGTTAATGAACCCCACAAGGCCAAAGCCTCCTCGAGATAACTCTATAAAACCTTTTAGTTTTATGGATTCCGTTTCATTCCGCAACAAAATAATTCGATATCGAATATCTATACGACGGCCGAGTGGCAAACGTGTGCTCGTAGAGAAAATAAGCTTAGTTTAAGTTGTGCAGGCGGATCGAACCATGCCCTAGACACGGATGGGAATGCTAATGCAGCAGTAAAGCTGCCTGTTTGGAAAACATGTGCAAAAACAACAAAATGGGAAGCGGTAGATTTGGTTTTGCCGTTAACAAGAAAGACAAAGTGAATGTTACGAATGAAGTGAAGACTGAGTTTAGTGTTAAGGAAAAATGTCAGAAAATACAGAAGAAACTAAAGACTGAAAAGAAGAAGACTGAAGACGCGCAGGAGAAAACGATCTGGTGGAATCAATGTAGCAGTCGTAAGTTTTTGATATGAATTTAAAAATAAATAAATGTCCCATTTGTAATAGGTAATTAGTGTCTCCTCATTGGGGTTTTTGCGTAGCTATTTCAAGACAAATTGGATGTTTGATGGAATAGCGTGAAGAAATTCTTAGCATAAAGGAGATAATCTATTACGATCATGTAATTAGGTAATTACGTAGCTTTGGGCAAAGTTAAAAAACTTATTCTACGAAACGTAGATTGGAATCGTTGAAGATTATTCGCTTCCATTGTTAAAGGCTGAGAGGCCCTTCAAGGGCCGTCATGCTCGTTACGCCCTTTGAATGCACAATGAGGGGAAATTAGAGCACCAAGGTTCTAACTTTTGAAATCAACAAGTACCACGAGTTATTCAAGCGACAAGGTATCGAGGCCAACAATGCGACCTTAAACGTTGCCTTCAAATTATATTTGAGCCCTTCTAATGATTAAAACGTTGGTTGCGACATTGACTTTTGCGATTCATGCATGCATCTAATTGAGATTATTCATTACGTTGATAGCTACAATGTTATTTTAGGCAAAATTGTATTTATCTGACTAATTAAGGTAGCTATTTTAAACAAAGTTATGATTATTTAACTAAAGTAAGGAAGCTATTGTATTTAAATGTGACCGTGGCCATATGGACCATTACAAACTATTTGCTCGTAAGTAAGATAACATGTTTGCTTTTCCCCTTACAGTAAATGACGTGACTTTTATTAAGAATTTATATATTATATATACTAGCTGACCCGGCAGACTTCGTAATGCCTCAATCGATAAATAAAAGACCTAAACTTTATTTAATTCCGAGAATTTTTATATTTATCTACCTTTTAAACCTTCCCTGGACTTCCACAAATAGTTCAAGACCAAAATTAGCCAAATCGGTCCAGCCGCTCTCGAGTTTTAGCGAGACTAACGAACAGCAATTCATTTTTATATATAAAGAAGATAAAAGATAATGTATAATTTTATCGCCCATTTAGTTGCAAAGTTGCTTGAATTTGAATTGTTAAATGTTGTAATAATTTCTACGTTAAAGTATGTCAGTGGAAAGCGCGAGAGAATCCCGTGAAATCTATGCGTTAATACGATGCGGACCGCGCGCGTGCTCCCCGTTTCCACTTTCTAAACTGGCCGGACATAGCTGTGTTTATAGTTCAGGAACTGGTCGTTTGTTCGCATGAAAGTTGTCTTGCTGACATTTTCCTGTACAGGGCATTGTATTGTCTTCTTTGCTAATGCTTAGAGCTTTGCCTATAATGTGAAGAAAATATATAAATATGATTGTAAGGATTTACTGGAAAGATGAAGAAAAGATTTACTGGTAGTAGGGCGTCTTGTGAGCCCGCACTGATAAGTACCACAACCCTGCCTGTTTCTGCCGTGAAGCAACCGAAGCAACATGTCTCCAACCGTTGTGCTATAAAAACGGAGACTTAGAACTCTAGTCTCAAATTGAATAGCGGCATTAAAATGGTTGATGTCTATGAATTCCGGTGGTCACTCAACACAACGTGGGCCGTGAGCTCATCAATCGATTTTAGCAAAAAAAACAAACTCAAACCTTAAATAAACCAATTTTGCTACACTTCAAAATTACACCCAATTAATCTCATTACTATCCATCCGGTTTTTATTTTATCGTATGTTATTGTTGGTGATTTTTATTCGATCGCATTCAAAGTGCATAAACTTTTCTTTTTTTAGACACGTTAATCTTTATTAAGGGCGTGGAGATTGACAGTTAAGGTTGATGGAAGGCAGGCTGTGGAAAGTACCAGGTACATACAGACATCGATCTTTTGTAAAGCACTTATTGAACCTCCATTATCGCGTTACCATATTCGGAATTAAACGATTTATTAATCATCACACAAAGCGATTGTTTTAAATTTACAAAGGTTAGCTGTTAATTATAAGTAGAGGTCCCGCAGTAGTCGAAATTCGACTATAATTAATTGGAATTGTAAGTTTGTACACTATTATGATTGTACATATTTTATACTTCTGTAATCACAAATTTCGCCAAGGCTACACTATAAAAAATATTAATAAAGACAAACAATATTTAATCTATTCTCAGTTTGACCACATACGTCAAGAACAAAAGTTTGACAATAAATAGTATGCATGCGTGTGTGCGTCAAATACATGGTATGTGGTGTGTGTAATGTTTTCTTTATTGATTTAATGTATCTTTTATGCATTATTTAAAAAAAATATTAGCATTGTGCACTTCTTCTCTATATTCTCTATAAGTGTGGAAAATTTCATACTCCTCCGTCCGCGCAATTTNGCATGCGTGTGTGCGTCAAATACATGGTATGTGGTGTGTGTAATGTTTTCTTTATTGATTTAATGTATCTTTTATGCATTATTTAAAAAAAATATTAGCATTGTGCACTTCTTCTCTATATTCTCTATAAGTGTGGAAAATTTCATACTCCTCCGTCCGCGCAATTTTCGTAAAAAGGGATACAAAGTTTTTGCTTCACGTATTAATATGTAGATAATAGCTGTCACGTACGGAACATATAATAATAAAATTCGTCGAACCGAGTAATGATTTAATCTGCTCATTTTTAATACCTGTAATTTAATTTATAATGCACTTGAACAACTAAAGCAGACACGATATATCATTTACACAAGATTGTCACGTCAAGCGACTTTATTACGAAAAATATACCTACCACGTATATTGCTGAGCTTTTTATGTCAGATGAGATAGGTCAAGGTTTTTATGTTCCAAATTAAAGAATTTGTTTTTCAATTGAAGATTGCTAGTTTGTATTAAGTTTAAAATTTATATCACTTTAATATATTTAGTGCATAATAATATAGGAGTACTTCGCTATTACATAAGGCCTAATCGCTGGTAAAAAGAGATCTTTAGATTAATTTACGTGATGACATTTGCTTTAATAAAAAATGTTATGAAGTATTTGATGAACGAATCATGAACGACTGTTTATAAACCAGCGTTTGAGCTCAAGTTAAAGATTTTAGCTTTCAGCAAGTGTGGTAGTAGGGCCTTTGTGAGCCCACACGGGTAGGTATCACCGTCTGCGTATTTCTGCCGTGAAGCGGTAATGCGTTTCGGTTTGAAGGGTGGGAGAGCAGGCGTTGTGATGTAAAACTGACACTTTGAACTCATCTCTCAAGTTAGATTGGCAAATTACGCCATTTAAGTTGTTAATGTCTATGGGCTCTGGTAAACAGTGTGCTTAGTGCGAGTTTCTTAACGTTCTCGACAGCGTAAAAGTTAAGCCAATTTTGCATGCAGTTGGAATAGAGCCCCTAGCGGCATACGTACGTAAACCATCTCATTTCATACAAATATGAGCTAACTTTTACTCTATCGAGAACGTTTAAAAACTCGCACTAAGCACACTGTTCACACCACGATTCTTTAATAGAAAATAAATAATTTTATTTTGTTTGTCAACAGTAAGCGAGATCGATCAGTATCTGTGGATGGTGGGGGGCTCAGCTGGTGCTCTGGCTTTGACCGGGGTCGCAGCCGCATCGGCCTTCTATCTAAGTACACGACCGAAACCAGAGAAACCACTCGTGACGCTACACGAACAGAGCCTCCTGGAGTCTGTAAGTATTTTTAATTATAATTTTTTTTGTTTTTTTTTATTATTATTATTATATTATAATACATTGTGTATTAATTGTATGTATATTTACGGATATATGTATGTATGTGTACATATATATATTTCACTGGATTGGTACACCGCGCGTAGTTCATTTCCAAATGATTCTTGTCCACCTGATGGTTGTCTGGAAGAGTTCGCTCTTAGTGATAAGACCGCCAATTGTACTTTTTTGTATTTAATGTATCGCACTGTTTATTTGTTTTTTGGTGTACAATAAAGAATACTCTCTCTCTCTCTCTCTCTCTGTCTCTCTCTCTCTCTAATTTTCAGTTTACAACTTTGGTGCATAGTTGACAACTAGTGCATGCATGGTGTTAATGCATAAAATTTAATGAGTAAAATACGTCATTTGCATGTAGGTAATGATAGCGATCATCCGGTCACCGTCCTCGCCGAATCCGTCGCTTGCGACGAAGGGCTCGACGAGCGAATTAACCCATAGACACAGCCCACTGAGTTTCTCGCCGAATCTTTTCAGTGGGTCGCGTTTCCGATCCGGTGGTAGATTCTGCGAAGCACTGCTCTTGCTAGGGTCAGTGTTAGCACCACTCCGGCTTGAGCCCCGTGAGCTCACGTACTAGTTACGGTTACGCTGAAATAGCCTCTCAAAGCTATCAGCTTAGGTAGGAAAAAAAAGAAGAAAAAAATAGCGAAGATGATACCAAGATCATCAATATGTTTAGTTTTTCTTCAAGCGAAAACAGAGGGATTTATTTTTTCGATAATATTTCTTTTCTACATAAACCACCAAAAATTTTACTGTTAAAAACAATTCGAGATTTTCAATTTATTCTTGATCACTTCGATCAACATTTTCCATATACAAACATATATATACATCAATATACAAACGTTACTATACTTGAGACCTTAGAACTTGTAACTCAAGGTAGGTGGCGCATTTACATTGTGGATGTCTATGGACTCCAGTAACCACTTAACACCAGGTGGGCTGTGAGCTCGTCCACCCATCTAAGCAATAAAAAAAAAACACAGTATTCGTTGATTTTTATATTTATAATCTGTTAGTATAATTTTAAACTAATTAACATTACCAAAGGATCACCTTAAAGTAAATGTTAATAATTTTATGTTTACTTGATTTTTAAATCGCAATTAGAAAAGTAACGCATTCTCGTTATAAGACAGGTTTAAAAAGTAGATACAAGTTTTTATTGATTTCGATATGCTAATAACCGATAACGGGATACATACTATATGTAATTCATTAGAATAACCAAATTTTAAATATGGGGTTGATGCACGATAAGTGTCTTAACGACTCAAATACACGCAAATAAATTGTGAATCGATTTGTAAATAAATAAATATTGTTTGCACAATGTTTTCGATTTTAGCATACTGTTGAACTGTATGTTACACATTGCGCAACATTAAGGCAATGAACCCGAATAATGCTGCGGTGTTATTATTCTAAGGCTGCACATAATGAAATTTGATTCCAACGATTGGGAATGTTTTGTAAAGTTTTAGTTATGCTTGTGTGAGTTCACGATCATCCAGTTTATGTGTTATAGTTAAACCATTTTTTTTAAACAACACCTTTCTCCTTAATCGTTTAGTGCGACAGTAAAATTCGTTCGCATTGCGGTACCAAAGTTCGAATTATCCTATTACCAACATTCAAGAACGCAGAAGTTGGCAGAGCGCATCTTCGAGCGGTATTTTTAACTCATTGTGCCAACGGCAGCCCTGGCCGAAACTCTCTTGCCAGACACCAATAGATAGCAGCGAAAGTGAAGAGGCTAACCGCTTAGCCTTAGCTTCAACAAAATCTTGTTTCAAATCTAAGAACGTCTGCGTTATATTGAGTGAATGTGAATCTTGAAAAGTATCATCATAAAGGACAGTTATGATTGCGCAATGTGATAAAGCTTGAAGTTTGAAGAGGAACGGTGCATTTTGTGTTTTGTGTGACCGTTACTTTAAAACAATGGCCTGCTGTGATTGCTGTGTCGGAGTTCCTCCGATTCGACCTCCGATTAATCTTAATGACCAATCCGAGGCCCTCAAAGTGAGTGATAAGCTTTACAAGACCGTTTGCAGGGCAACAAGACAATTGAAAAATTATTCAATATAAAATCTTAATTGTCAGTCAGTTCAATGTCGGATCGGATCGGAGTTATTGAAGATTTTAAACTTGTTTTTAACGGCGTTTGTTACTTTGTCTCGATTTAGAAAAGATGTTTTTTTTCTATCCGTACTATTGCGTAAATTAATATAATTAGCATTCGAAGAGGTCAAAACATTGTTGGATGTAGCCGTCTCAATAGTTGGCAAAGCTTCGTAACATTTAGATACGGATCATTTAAAAGTCTCACTGTATGTGTCCACCGATTACAAATAGAATTTCTAGATGTTTCTTTTTTAATTCATAAAGCTCGTTAAGTGTAAATCGCGTAGGTACAAGTAAGAACTTTTTAGAATTTCATTATCATACTCGAAGAATTATTTTGGAACTACGAAATTTGAAATTTGTTGGTACTATTAAGAATTGTATATACATGATTAGTTAGAAGTCATCTTTGGTAGAATTTTTTTTGTATAATACATTTTCAAATCTGTTTTTGTTACCTTGAAATTAAAAGTGTTATAACTAATATCGTACTTTTAACACGAATCGTCAATTTTATCTACTAAATTTTTATTTTTTATTTTTGCAGTTTTATAATACCAGGTAGTTTAATAACCTAAAAGTACATATAATTATCCGTAACACGCTTCGTCAGATTGTTGAAATAGAGTTATCAGCAAAATGCTTCGTTAAAAAGTACAATACTTATTTTCAGTTACAAGTGTCGTTTGGTAGAAATACATAAAATATTGTATACAGTTGCTGCATTTATAGGACCAAAGTCAGAGGACACGTCTCAAGAATAAGCGGCTTTTAAATGCCATAGACTCCTATATCGCGCTTGACACCACCCACTAGTACCAGATTCCCATGGCTAGGTCCGTGATTTCTGCCGCGAAGCAGAAGTGCGTTCCGGTATGAAGTGTGGGAGATCTTTTCAAAAAATATTCAGATTTCGACATTGGTAATCTCTATGCGATGCCTATAATGTATACCCTATTAACTAGCTAACTCTAATAATCAATTTAAAAACCTCTCTTGGCACACTATACACAATAATATTGCGTTAGAGTAAACGCTTTTCGACCATTTCGCTCTAAACTTTTGATTATCTCGCGGAAAAAATAAATAGACTTGCAACTTTTACGAAAAGTACTTGAGATAAGAATTAAGAAGGACTAGAGGAATTGAGGTAGGAACATTTATTACTATCACGGATGGGTCGTGATTGCAAGATAAAGACAGGGTCGTATACCAATTTCTTCTAATTTATGCCAAATAAAAATATGGAATAACATTCGGTGGCTATGAAATTATGGATTTTATTTTGAAAAACACATTACAAGTATGTAGTCGCTTCATGTCATAACCACAGCGTTGCCGTAAAAGGTTCCAGGTTTTAGTATTGTTGAAGTTACTGAAAATAAGTATTGAAGGATGTTGTGTACCGTGTAACAAATTAATAGGTACAAGCCCTGTCCGAAATCTTTATTTGGATCAACATAACCAGATGTTAATGACTGAACGTGAAATGTAAATCAAATCTTTAAAGTATTCTCAAAATAAATTCTCAACAATTTTCGTCTCCATAGGCAAATGTCAAAAAACGGAAGTCTTATAATTTGTTGTCCTTAGGTCAAACCTATTTTATTCACGGGCTATTTACACGGTGTGTACATAAAAGTGAAACTGCTATGCCAATAGCTTAAATTGACTAGGGCATTCCGTACATCATGTGATGCAAAAATGGATAAAACATTTTTTTGAGCTTATCTGTTTCCTTTGAATTTTTCTTAGTTTGGTAAAATTGGAGTTAAATATTTGGATAATATATTGGAATTAAATAAGGAGTCTGAAGCGCCTCCAATAATAGTACAACCACAAAAACTAAAGTAAGCTAACTATTATCTACATCTAATCTAATCTACACTAAGTCAAATAATTTAAAGACAAAGTCACACTTCTAAAAACTCAAAAATACGATGAACCAATAGTACCTAAGTTCAATGATTCCGAAGCAGAAGAAAAGATAATTACATTTAGCATAGCAGCTGTTCTAAAATTACGAAATCTTGACCCATAATGATTATGTCATTGTCATTTTTTATAAAGCTTGGCAAAGATTCCAGACGAGTCACGGGACGTTATTGAATATATTGAGACAGGCACACAAAATCGCTAATCTCTGTTGCACGTCATTGCTGTTTAAAATAATAATAAAAAACTGTTAAAAAGAATTCGCGTGACATTCATGTTTTGTGTTTTGAATCGTTGCGTATACGTCTACTAACCGATTCCCGTGATTTACGCAAACAATTCCAATTTTTCTTGGATATAAAAAATGAATTGGGAATAAATTGGATTCCTATATTCTATGTCTTTCAATGTTTAAATCGATTACGATAGCAAGAGTTTTTAATTTGCGATATTTTCATTTCAATCTACTGCATGGTACAAGTTTTGTTATAGTTTTAAAAGGAGCACTGAACGCCCATAATATAGCTTGATAGTCAGAGAGCTGCTAAGGCTATCTATGTAATTAACTTCGTCATGAGCGGTGGTCAACTATGCTTTTAATCATGAGTTAACCAGACACGTTTTTTATCTTATTAAATGAGTGATGGTTAAATTATTAATAGTAATTATTAAGTTACTGGTATAATGTGAGCTAAGCTATATTTTTTGTGGTATATTGTTATTAAATGCGCAAATTAATCTGAGTACTTGGTTTGGTTTTTTTGTTGGTTCGTGTTCTTTGCGTCCGCGGTTCCATTAATCGGTTGAGTTCAAACTCTTTGCCGTTGCCTATCCTTATTCGATGATAAACCTTACGTTGTGTTATATAAAGAATGCCTACCAGACCGGGTCATCCATATAAGATTGAGCAGGTAACATCATGAAAACATTTTTTTTACCTTAAATGGTTACGGTTGGAAATTTGTCAGCAACGGGGTAAAAAACTTGATTGGAACCTAATGAACCGGCTCTAAAACGTTCTAAGCTAAACCACGACACTTAATACTTTGATTTTTCGAAATTTCATTGTAATCGAGAATGAAACGCTGGCTTCAAGTTGAATAGAAGCGAAGGCCATCCGTCAAATGCCTACCCGAATCGAAATACCGATTCGATATATTACTTCATTCGAATGGCACGTTTCGAGGAATGTTGATCCAAATATCGATTTGTTAACGTTATATAGCACGACTCACGTGAGAGCAACGCAAATGATTTACCGTATAATTTGGCAAACAAAGCACTAGTAATTTGTACCGGCCCGATAACCCGTAAAGGGTGCAATCTTGTAACAAATTTGATAGTCAGCCAATAATTCTCGGCGCTCGTAATTGTTGCTGACTGATATGTGTCAGTAGTTTATTAAGTGTGTTACAACGAGGTTGCCATGTATACACTTTGTATATAGATTTTATTTCTAGGTTAGGGTAGAATTGTTGAGGATTAAAATTAGGGGCAGTTACAAGGTTTAATACATGTATAATATGTTTTTTGGTGGCAATATCAGACGGCCCATATTGAAGTATAATGCCGAAGACTTGCTTCCTAGATGGGTGACCGCCTAGTGCCCATCATCACCTAGTGATTTTTATGGGTGCGGGTAATCACTTAACTCCAAGTGATCGCAGACCCGTTCACCGACCGGTTTATGAAAAAAAACGCAGTGACGTTCCACTGTGACTATTGCCGATTGAGACAACAACGACGTACCAAGTTTCATTTCGCTCGGAAGAAGGATTCGTGCACGCATAGTGGATAAGCAATTGTTTTTTTTATTTACAAAAGATAAAAAGAAGCGTAATTTGTTCGAATCTTCCATGGCCTTATAGGTAAAACGCTCGGTTTGCGTAAATACAAGTCGCAGAGCGTGCCGCAAACCAGTATAGGAATGTATTACCGTAATGTTTATTTAGTGCACGAAGGTATCACGGGTTTCTCTTTTCCGAAGAGTTTTGAAGCAATTGAGACGCGACCTCATGTTTTAAGATGGGCATCCATATGGACGTTTTGTGGCAATCACTTAATACTCGATGGATCTTTTGTCTGCGTGCGTTAAAGTTTTATCAAACCTCACAGACACAGACACACACAACCTAAAATTACCAAAATCATTTACACCCATTTAGTTTGTGACTTAATTACCTAAGGTTTATCCTTGTATGTCAGTATAAGTCAAATCACAATTGGAAGAGTGCAAAGACATTCGACAATAATATACTCATACATTCACTATTTTTAAAATATACTCTCGAAAATACTTATCAATGTTGAAGACGTCAAATCATCACGAGATCTTGACACACTATTCTATAATAGCCAGAACATTTATGAAAACAAGTTAATTTTCTTTATGTTTATCTCCTAATCCTCACTAAATAATATTGTCGAAAACGAAGCGTACATTTTGTAAACACATAGCTAACACTAAACAGAAGTTACGCGGAAATAGACGCTAGCGTACCGACAATGTCAACTATTCGGAGACATTATTTTCGTTTGCCAAGAACCCGCTTCGTATCAAAGCCCCCTTCAGGGATTTCCTGTCGAGCTTATAGAAAATTCCCGTGACGCATCACGATTATCCACGGTGCCCTTTAGAGAGAGAGAGAGAGAGAAAGTATTCTTTATTGTACACCAAAAAACAAATAAACAGTGCGATACATTAAACACAAAAAAGTACAATTGGCGGTCTTATCGCTAAGAGCGATCTCTTCCAGACAACCATATTTACCTCTCAACAACTGGGTAGCTGATACAATATTCGTTGCTACGTTGCATCAATATAGGATTCACAATAGGTTCGAGATTTTTCGTATAACGTATCAATGAACATGATTCGATTTATAGCTTGTTTCTATTACGAATTCGTATTTGAATAGACCGTTCTATATTTATCAAAGTTCGGTCAATTCAAAAATAACCGACAGAGACGTACGTACACATGTCGCATCGTTTTGTTATAAGCACGTCACAAATCTTTTAAATTTTTCACTTGGCACCGGATGACCAATTTCCTTCTGGCCTTGCATTATAAATTCAAGATCGTATTTCTTGACGCTTCACACATTTCGCCTTTCAACATTTTTCGTCATCGCGCTTATTCAAAAGATCGGTTTACTATCTTCTATATATTAATACGAGAAGCAAAAACTTTGTATCCCTTTTTACGAAATTTGCGTGGACGGATGAGTATGAAATTTTCCATACGTATAGACAATATAGAGAAGAAGTGCAAAATGCTAAAATTTTTTTTAAATAATGCATAAAAGATACATTAAATCAATAAAGAAAACATTACACCCATTACATACCATGTAGTTGACGCACACACGCATGCTTACTATTTATTGTCAAACTTTTGTTCTTGACGTCTGTAGTCAAATTGAGAATAGGTTAAATATTATTTGTCTTTATTAATATTTTTTTATAGTGTAGCCTTGGCGAAATTTGTGATTATAGATGTATAAAATACAATCATAATAGTGTACAAACTTACAATTCCAATTAATTATAGTCGAATTTCGACTACTGCGGGACCTCTACTTTGTTTGTTGTAATTGCGTAAAGATTTGGAATTAGGATTTCGCGTTGAATTTCAACTGTTTCGTCATTTAAATTTATTAAATCGTTCGCTCGCTTCTCAATCGTTTGAATAAACATTAATAAATCAAATAGGTGCTCGCGTTGACCTACATATATCATCTGATAACGTAAAACTGTCGTCGTCGAAATTATATTTGAATAAATGCCATGAAAAACAAAAATTAATGGAGCTAATTTAGAGATAATACTAATAGCTAGCTTTGCCGCGGACAATGCTCTAAATTAATACAAGATCCATCACAGAGTGCTCACCGTTAAAATGTGTTTTGTTGCTAAGATTGTGTGATTAATAATATGCCAGGTCTCATTTAAAGCCAAAATTTCTCCTGTTTTGTATAACTGTATTTTGTTATGCAGAAATAGACGAAATATCTTCAAAGACCTACAGTAACATCACTCCTTCTGAATACGATATCACATTAAAGCTACAATTTGCTGTTTTGTAGACTTTGAATTCAAAATATACACACATAAAACAAAGTATCTTATAATTCAAACAGTATCAAAGATGACAATTTAATTATGTATCACCACAAAATCTCCACACAAAAGAGCTTAGATTGCTCTATTCATTACTTTATAATGACATAACATTTCATGGTATGATCATCGGACCGCAAAAATGTTCTCTGACTTTGACCCGTTCATCGTTCCATATTATCATTGTGCAAACTGTAATAATAATATACCGTAATGTGTAAGAGTGCTTCATGTCGAAGCCAAGATAGTGAGTTAGTGGGCCAACTATGTCATTAGGTTAACGGAGAGTTTTATTTGTATAAACTTTTAGTAATTGTGGACAATAATTTTTCAAATTTATACTTTAGAATTACTTTTTTTTATTGCTTATATGGGCAGACGAGCTGTTAAATGGTTACTGGAACTCATAGACATCTACAACGTAAATGCGCCACCCACCTTGAGATATAAGTTCTAAGGCATAAAGTATATTTAAAATGGGTGCCCCACCCTTCAAAGCATTACTGCTTCACGGCAGAAATAGGCAGGGCGGTGGTACCTATCCGCGCGGACTCACAAGAGGTCCTACCATCAGTTTTTTTTAAATACATCATTCCTATGACTATATTAGACACTCATTATAGTTATTATAGTTCTGTTCGTATAGGTTAATAAGATTACGACTGATTAGTTCTGCGCACGTTGAAAGGTTTCAGTGCAATAACCCCGAAAGAATTTATTAGCGATAAATTGTAACCTGAATGGACACGTCAACTTCATGAGTCACTTCATAAATCTATGATATAATTTTGCATTGATACGATAGTATATTGTTACATTGAGAGACCAAGGATGTATCTAAATGTTTTTTATATACTTCAATGTTTTTGATTTACAGGGACCTGAGATGGTTCGTGTTTCGAAATTCTACAAAGACGCGAAGAACGGACGTTTCCTACGATATCTTCACGAGGATACACGCACACTTTACGACACTTTCCGACGAGGCGTAAAAGAGTCGAGTATGTGCAATTATTTTATTTAAACCACCACTATAATATTTTAAACGTAATTTAATGAAGTCGTAAGTTTCTCAAGGGTCGCTCGCTGTAAATAGCCCAAAGGTTTAATTATACTCGGTAGTTATAGCTTCGCGAGTCGGTGTTAAGTCCATTATTAACATGCCTTCTTATTCGATTGCCCTGCAGCTGTACCTACGAATGATTCACAGACAATTGCGATTCTGGGCCGGCCGTAAGGTACAATTCCGAGCCCGCTTCGTTTCCCCCATATTTCCGTTCGTTAATGATAACTACGATAATACCCTTGTATTACAAAATATCATTACCATCAACCGCGAACCGGTTTACAGGATACAGTTAAATGCAATTTGTGCCACTGGAGCTAGGCCTCTGTTTTTTGTTGTTCGTTCCACAGAAACAAGCGCCCGTCCTTATTGCGTCGCGAAAAATAAAAGTTGCTTTATTTACTCAGAGGAAGTTCGTGTAAGGAATCGTTCGACATTGGCGGCTGTCAGTAATTTAACAAGATTGACGGTTATTTTTTTTTTATTTACTGAAAAGCATTGGCGACACGGTCATCAGCTTAAACAAATTTTACAAAAAAAATTGAAAATGAACTAGGACTAACAATAAATAAAAGAAACAAACCAAACCCAGAAACGATTAGAAATCATTGAGAACAACAAAATTTGGCGGTTTAAATTATTGAAGTAATGACAGTGTTAAATTAATTTCAGACAATGGCAACTGTTTGGGTTGGCGCGAGGGTCCGAACAAGCCTTACGTTTGGCAGACATATAATGAGACTCTACTGCGCGCAAAGAATTTTGGTTCCGGTCTGCTCTGTCAAGGTCTCATTCCCGGTCAGACTACATTTGTCGGTAGGTATTTAATTTGTTTTCGTGTAATGCCTTGATGGAATTCGAATAATGCAAATATTATTCTTTTCAGGTATTTATTCGCAGAATTGTCCTGAATGGATTATGACCGAACAGGCGGCGTATTGTTATTCGATGGTTATAGTTCCGTTGTATGATACGCTAGGAGCGAACGCTTGTGCCTTCATTGTTAACCAAAGTACGTATGCTTCATATATCCATGTTACATATTTAATTTTAGAAATTCTGAATTCAAATCATCTTGATCATTCTCCTCAGACACAACCTGGATATTCCTTGTTTGTTACAATCACTCTTAGTGATTCATAAATATTTTTTTTTACCTCACTCAAGGCGATACATCTCAATAACTATTTATGAAAACAGTTCTAAGATTGTCGATAATTTGAATATTTTGTTTGACATTTTGGGGAACGTTTTAGCTGAAATGGCTGTAGTAATTTGTGAAGACGACAAAAAAGCCAATCTCCTACTGGATCAGTCGCCTCGATGCCTCAGAAAACTGATTACAATTAAGGAAGTATCGCCGTCTACATTTCAACGCGCCAAGAGCCGTGGTGTTGAGATTTTGAAGTTCTCTGACGTCGAAATACAGGGAGCTCAAAAGGACCATCCTTTTGTCGTAAGTATCGAGCTATATATTATACCACACTTAAATCTTAAGTGCATATCAGTTTGGCTACTCCCGCTATTCCTTTCTAATATCTTATTGTTCATTTTTATGACGCTAGAAGTCAACTGATCTATATATTAATATGTGAAGCAAAAACTTTGTATCCCTTTTTACGAAATTTGCGCGGACGAATGAGTATGAAATTTTCCATACGTATAGAGAATATAGAGAAGAAGTGCACAATGCTAATATTAAAATAATGCATAAAATATACATTAAATCAACAAAGAAAACATTACACACACTACATACCAGGTATTTGACGCACACACGCATGCATACTATTTATTGTCAAACTTTTGTTCTTGACGTCTGTGGTCAAATTGAGAATAGATTAAATAGTGTAGCCTTGGCGAAATTTGTGATTATAGAAGTATAAAACACAATCATAATAGTGTACAAACTTACAATTCCAATTAATTATAGTCGAATTTCGACTGCTGTGGGACTGCTCCCAAAATCGAAACTGCTATAATCTACTGCTATACCTAATTTTGTGAATGGGTAATTTAAAGTTAAGGTAAATGTACCCCACGCTAAATGACAACCTCGATCCGTGCGTCGTCTGAATTTTTATTGTCATAAATTGGCAGTTGTTAGTGAGCGGATATTATTCGATTGCAGTTTTAGGTGTATTGTGTTAGAAATCAACAATACCGACTGTCTTCGTTTTCAAGGATGTTTTCTTTCAACACGTCCTGTATTTCATAAAAAATAACCACTCTTATTAGTTATACAGATTTGGGATTGTTGTTGTTTAATTTTGAATTCCTTTTTTAACAACATCATAGTTTGTTGTTATAATGTTCTCAAAGAAATGAATGAATATCTATTTAGATTAACTTGTACGTTGATCGTAGTACGTGTTAATATTGATATTGCTCAATGAAAATTTTTAATATTTTTTTGCAAATATAATTAAATCTTTACGTAATTTCCTTTCATTACTTCATCCGTGTCAATAAATTAGTTGCGGGTAAACACATAAATTGCACATCATCTTGAATTTGCTATTAAACACCTGAAGCTTTAAATTTTGTAATATATTTTATTTCAACACTGCATCGTAATAAAACTGCTGTTAATAAAGTGGATGCTAACATTTTCGTGTAAATATTATTCGAATGTATGCCGCATGTAGTTGATCGACTAAGATAAACTAAGAATAAGATGGTTTCTTTATTATTTTCTTTTTACAATAGGTTGTAGCGTTTTTGTCTTTTTATTTATTAATTTTATTGCAAAGATGGGTGGACGAGCTCACAGCCCACCTGGTGTTAAGTGGTTACCGGAGCCGATAGACATCTACAACGTACATGCCGCCACTGACGTTGAGTTAACTTGGGTTTTAATATTCGCTAAGTATCATAATTATATTAATTACCTATCTGCTTTTATTACAGCCACCGAAACCGGAAAACCTTTGTACAATATGTTATACGTCCGGAACGACTGGGATGCCTAAAGGCGTTATGCTGACTCACGAGAACGTTGTAGCTTCGATGTGCAGCGTTACGATGCAACTCGGCGAGCATCGACCCACCAAGAACGACATCATGATCTCCTTCCTGCCTTTAGCTCACATGCTGGAGCGATGCTGCGAGGTCAGTTTTGCGTCTTTCTCATAGGCATACGACATCGGAAGCTGGTGGTAGGACCTTTTGTGAGTCCGCACGGGTCGGTGAGTGGCGCATTTCCGTTGTGGATGTCTATGGCTCCAGTAACCACTTAACACCAGGTGGGCTGTGAGCTCGTCCACACATCTAGGCAATAAAAATAAAAAGGTACCACCACTGCCTATTTCAGCCGTGAACCAGTAATGCGTTTCGGTTTGAAGGGTGGGGCAGCCGTGGTAACTATACTTGAGACCTTAGAACTTATATCTCGAGGTGGGTGGCGCATTTACGTTGAAGATGTCTATGGGCTCCAGTAACCACTTAACACCAGGTGGGCTGTGATCTCGTCTACCCATCTAAGCAATAAAAAAAGCCCTAAGCTACCACACTCACAAGGCCCGTTTGCTATTAAGACCATACAACATGGATATGCTCCCTCACTTGGCGACATGATGTTGCAATCAATGTTATTATATAACGTTTGTGGAATGGTCCAGTCTCTCCGAGGCGATAAACATAATGATTGAACGTTGAGTTTGTGTTTTTATAATTCAGTTTACTTCAAGTGTGTCTGACTCTTTTCAGAATGCTCTCTACATGGTGGGAGGAGCCGTTGGTTTCTACAGTGGCGATATAAGGAGGCTGGGCGATGACCTCACCGCTCTTAAGCCGACCATGATGCCGGCTGTTCCACGTCTCCTGAACAGACTGTACGACAAAGCCCAGACTGAGATCGCCAACTCGAAAATCAAGAAATTACTTTTCAACATGGCGCTATCCGCAAAAGAATCGGAATTGAAGAGGTAAAAATACCAATCGAGCATCGTGATTACAGAGAAAAATGAAAAGGGGTTTTTATTCCGTGTTAATTTTCAGAGGAATAGTTCGTGCTGACTCGATATGGGACAAGTTAGTTTTCCGCAAGGTTCGAGAAGGTATGGGAGGACGACTTCGGATAATGGTCGTCGGATCAGCGCCTTTAGCAGGAAACGTACTGACTTTCGCGAGATGCGCCCTCGGTTGTTTGGTGAGGTCAACTAAAATTATGTAGATTACTAACTACAATTGTGCTTAATAACTAATCTTTCACGACTTTTGAGAGAAAATATTTGACATCCATGCCTTAATTTAGTATTTCAAATTGTCATTGATATTTTTAGTACACTAGCTTAGCGAAAGGCCTCAGAGACTTTCTGAAATGTAGTTTGGTCCTGGAGTCCACAGATATCGCAATGTGATGCAGCGCCATTACTCTAGACAAAGTTGATGTCTCAATTTCATTGCATAATGCCCCTTTCAAATCAGATTGCATAAGTGCTATGTGTCAGGAATAGACAGGATTCTATCCGTGCGGGCTTATAGAAAATTACGCAATCATCTTAATATAAGATTATTTTAAATATCTAAATATCATAGTCGTCAATCATACTATTGTCATTTTCTTTAAAATAGATACAATCTGTAGATTCAGATTATGAAATTTCAAGCTTACCAAAAACAATTTGACTTCGTCTAAGCCTGTGGGTTTCTGTAAGAATTATATTTAGAAAATTCTTGACTAATTTTCATGGTGTTCACGCAATGACAGTAACGGAAAGATGTTTTGACGAAATGATCAAAGCGAAAATCATATACATATTTACTACTCCAGTTACAAAATTTAGCGATAGATAAAAGGAAATTATTTTTAGTGCTAAATTCATCGAGAAGAAAAGTCAAATAAAGCGTATTCTTTATTATGCTGTTTATCGTTTGACATGATTGCCTGAATGTCCTTCGTTACTTTTACAAATTTTATATTCGGTTTTAAAGAATAAGGAAATAATTCAAGAGATTCATAGTGTAAATATGCATTAGAAATCGTTATATAATAATATGAACACATCAATAATTTTGAACGTATCCATTCGCTGAGTATGGAATAACGCCAAAAAGCTCTCGACTATTTTAAGAAATGTTCCGCAGTCGAAATCAAGATCTCGTAAATCAGATTTCGTAATATCACCGTTAGATAGGCGAAATATAATAGATTAGTGAAAACGAATTCGTATGTATTTGTTTTTAGGATAAATCGTAACATTTATCAATAAAATAATATAAACTTATTTTTGGGTGCAAGTCGTTACGTTAGATGGCATTTTGATATTTATTAAACGTGAAATCATTGTTAGTCTTTTTTATATAATATCGAATCCGTACTGCTTGCTATTAAAGCCTGCTTATTTTTCCCGCAAAGTAGTGGTGAATTTTATTTTGAAATCATTACTATAATGTAATTGAGACGGACCTAATGTGTTAAGGTGGGCGATGACCGTGAGTCGTCTGCTCATCTAGGCCAATTAAATTGAGGGAATGGAAGTTAGGAAATATTATTTTTTCAGATTCAAACAAATTTTTGCGTGTTGGTAATGTTCTAAATAAGCTTACCGATATTTGTTAACCTATCATATTTACCGATCACGGGCCAACTATAACGGTAGTTCTGTGATAGACAATGACGAAATACAAATAAAAAAAAGTTGACTTGGACGTACATATATATTTTTTTTTTATTGCTTAGATGGGTGGACGAGCTCACAGCCCACTTGGTGGTTAAGTGATTACTGGAGCCCATAGACATTTACAACGTAAATGCGCCACTCACCTTGAGATATAAGTGTTAAGATCTCAAGAATAGTTACAACGGCTGCCCCACCCTTTTTCAAACTGAAACGCATTACTGCTTCACGGCAGAAATAGACAGGGCGGTGTTACCTACCCGTGCGGACTCACAAGGGGTCATACCACCAGTGTCGACTTCGTTATATGTACGTCTTCTAGTACGATGAATCTAGAATAACCCCTCGACGTTACTATAATATAATAGGTAGGAAAAAATAATGTACGTCTTTAAACATAATTTCCGAACGCACAAACCGTTGTTGTATTAAAAAGATAATTATTTATTCGTCTAGAAAAGGCACCCGAAGATTAATTCTATTGTTGCGAGTGAGTGTGTATCATAAAAAACTCATTACTGGTCACTCTTAATCACTACACCCACAATAAAGTGAACGACCTAAAATTGCAGTAATCGTTTGGCACAAGTCGCCAATCAACCAGATTGTTTCTAAATTGGTTTACGAGTTTCATTAAATTCTCGGGGGCTATCTTCGTTGCCGCGAATTCTGATAAGAATTTTATAGGAGAATAAAATTTAGTTAATTCTCTTTCTATGTAGTTTAGTATTTGTTGACTTGTTCTATTTAATTATAACGATTTGAACTTGATATTATCCACAATAAATAGAATTGACGAAAAACATTACGGCAACGGCATATGACTTTTTGGCGGGAACGCGAGGAGCGAAGTTGTGTGATTTGTTTTATTTTGTCTATTTAGTGTTTTTTCAGGTTTAAATGTATAATAACGGTGGTTTATTAACTGTTTAGTATCTTTGAAAGTGCACAAATGTGGCAAAATCAAACAAAGTCGCCGAACGTAACTTCTTGGGATCCTCCAAAAAAAGTCCACTGAAAAATTCTCAGTAAATGACCACCATTTTACTGAGATTATATTTCATCCCATATCATCTCATTTTATTTAATTTTATCCCAGTTGTTTAATGTCTTAAATTAGTCATCTTCATTTCACTCCATATTATCATTTTTAATAAAAATAAGAATATAGATTAAAATAAGACATGACTTAAAGGTCTTAGATACCGGGTCATAAAATCCCTTAAAAAAAATTTAAAAGCAACGGCATATTTATATCATAGCGTACCGTCAAAAAGAAAAGTCTAATCCGTGTGGCTTCTGTCAATCGCTGTTTGATTCGTAATGTGTGTTTTGTTTTAGAGACGCATTAATTTGTATTCTCAGATCGTGGAAGGCTACGGTCAGACAGAGTGCACTGCGCCGGTGACGCTAACAGTTCAGGGAGATCATGTTCCTGAACACGTCGGCCCTCCCGTCGCTTGTTGTAAAGTGAAGGTTGGTATCATTGCATCGTAATATATAAAACGTATTTAATAAAACATAAACATGTTTAATATAACATAAAAAAGTCGTCGCGGCCTAAAGGATAAGACGTCCGGTGCATTCGTGTTGAGCGATGCACCGGTGTTCGAATCTCAGGCGGGTACCAATTTTTCTAATGAAATACGTACTCAACGAATGTTCACGATTGACTTCCGCGGTGAAGGAATAACATCGTGTAATAAAAATCATTCAATCAATTGTAACTATACTGAGATCTTACAACTTATATCTCAAGGTGGGTGGCGTATTTATATTGTAGATGTACATGGGCTCCAGTAACCACTTAACACCAGGTGGGCTGTGAGCTCGTCCACACATATAAGCAATAAAAAAAAACTAAAAAAATAAAAAAACATCAAACCCGCAAAATTATAATTTCCGTAATTACTGGTGGTAGGACCTCTTGTGAGTCCGCGCGGTTAGGTACCACCACCCTGCTTATTTCTGCCGTGAAGCAGTAATGCGTTTCGGTTTGAAGGGTCGGGCAGCCGTTGTAACTATACTGAGACCTTAGAACTTATATCTCAAGGTGGGTGGCGCATTTACGTTGTAGACGTCTATGGGGTCCAGTAACCACTTAACACCAGGTGGGCTGTGAGCTCGTCCACCCATCTAAGCAATAAAAAAAAATGTTTTTTTGTTGTTTTAATGTTCATAACAATTATAAGAAAGCCATGAATTTGTTCGCCGGGGTAACATGCAAGCTTGCTTCTGCGCACTATTTGGAAGCCACTGTCCGGTTTAAGAGGTAGGGCATTAAAAGCTTTAGAATAAGGGCAATTTTTCCCTGGAAACGAGACGCGCATTCGTTTTGTGGTAAAGGCAGACGTTACCATTAAAAGAAACACAGTTTGATCGCAAAAAAACAAAAAGGCCTTGAAATATTGTGTGAAATAACCGCATTTAAAATAAAAACAATCTTGAATTTGAATGCTAAATATTGGTTTGATCATTTGTCTGTAGAAATTTACGTTTGTTATTATTTTCATTAAAAACAGATTGATTTAAAGCCGGCGATATAGGTTTATCTGTTCTACCGTAGAATAATGTCGATAAGTGCCAAAACAAACATTGACAAACAACCATGAAAAATAACCCGGATTCTGTGGGATCTCAGTGTTTAAGCTTTACAGTTTTATCGTCTCACTTTATTGCTTCTTAAACTTCCATATATCATTACATCGTATAAACATATTACATTAAATTCTCCACCTGCAGTCGCTACATTTTTCTCGAAGACTTTTTTGTAAAATCTCTCAACCAGGTTGCAGCAAGTTGAGTTTTTGCAGAAACTTCATCTATTAAATACGATTAAATTACTCTTGTATGTTTTAAGATGATTATAGCTCCTATTCTAATTCAGTTAATATTCGTCGTTATGTCTGGACGCGAATAAATCTATTTGCCTACACATCCCACTAAACCAATTCTTAGTTACTTTACAATCACAATTGAGACTTTTATTATTAATTAAGGAGGTACCATCTGATATTCACCGTAGTTGATTTATTTTGAAGGATGGCTATCTTTTTTATTATAAGATTATTTTTTTCTATTAAAGCTTTTACGAAAACGGAAATGGTTGACAGTGACCTAATTGTATCATAATCATTAAATTTTATACTACACGTCTCTCACGTATATCAAAGTTTAAAAGAGCATCTTAATTAACCCGTCTAGTGCTTTATCAAAGGGCTATAAAACTTTGACATTTCCGGCGTTTTTTTTATTCAAGAAATGAAGGCCACTTTTCTGTTTAATTTCTAGGTGACATTTTAAAATAAAATTTTATTAAACGAGATGACCTTCACATATATTTAATAAAAACGATGTTAGTATAGGTCTAATCATTGATCACAGGGAAATCTTTTCGTCTCTCGAAAATGTTTTCGGTAAATAAACTTTGAGGACCGATGTTTATTTAAATGGGTTCTGATTTTTGACGTTTTTGTTCTTCAACCACTGGAGGTATAGCAACTTGTGGACGTAATGCCTCGAAGTTCAGCGAGTCTTTAAGCTTTCGTTCCCTATTAGTCACGAAAATTCACACGTGTCGCTACTAAATATTTTTATGAGGTGCTTATGATGCATTTCAATGTATTTTAAACATTTACGACATGATTGTCAGACATTGGATATTAGCGCGCGTGTGAAAAATGGCATATTGCAAAAGGCCCTTGACAAACTTCTAGTAAAAAGCCTTTGTAAAATTCCATATTAATCAAAATTAGGATTTAATATCAAGGTAGTAAGATATATTTTTCTGATTATATAGCTGGACATAATTCGCCACCTAGATGGCTTTAGACAGTTATAACTCTGATTATAACTGATCAAGAAATTTTTGGCTAAAGTAGTTAATACAGAAAAAGTTTAATTCAAATTAATTAATTGTTATTACATCATAGCTAGTGGACGTGCCCGAAATGGAGTACTATGCGGCGCAGGGCCAAGGTGAGGTTTGCGTGCAGGGAGCTAACGTCTTCAAAGGATACTTCAAGGACGCGGAGAAAACCAGAGAGGTCATCGACCAAGACGGATGGCATCACACCGGCGATGTCGGCAAGTGGTTACCTGTAAGTAATCGTTATAACCATTTGTTATATTTAGTTTCAAATGTATATGTTATATTAACGACACGTGTCCAGAAAACTGTTACCAGACGATTTAGAAATATAATATAGTGCTGTAATGTGCTTTTTTGAAGGTGGTAGGACCTCTTGTGAGTCCGCGCGGATAGATACCACCACCCCGCCTATTTCTGCCGTGAAGCAGTAATGCGTTTCGATTTGAAGGGTGGGGTAGCCGTTGTAACTATGCTGAGACCTAAGAACTTATATCTCAAGGTGGGTGGCGCATTTACGTGGTAGATGTCTATGGGCTCCAGTAACCACTTAACACCAGGGTGGCAATAAAAAAAAAACCAAAATTCTGATATAAGATTAATGTGTATTATCGAGGAAGAGTAAAGCCGATATCCTCCTTACGTAACCGTTTTGAGTGGTTATCGAATCGCATTTTCAGATTTTCTAATTAATAACTGGACAAATTAACATTCTGTAAAATTATCTGAGCTGACCATATATATGAATGTTATTATTAAAAAATATTTTAACAAAAAACAAAACTGACTTCCAGTAAAATGAGAATATTATCAATGTATTCGAAGTGAATTAAATATGCATTATTGACGATAACTCCAAAACTATCAATCAGATCTTGATAAATGGAACCACTTAAGAAGCACTAGCTTTGAATCTTTGAAATCCAAAAATATTTTTATCGAAATTGGTTCACATTGAAAAAAGTTCTGAGGTATAAGTATAAAAAAGTTTAATTGAATTGAAAATACCCTCATAGTTTTGTAGTCGGTTAAAAACACTAATTCAAAATAATAATGTAATTCACAAAGTGGAGTGCCGTCCTGGCCTGGTGGACTAATGATTTACGAAGGGTGACGGACAGAAACTAGATGAGGAGGGCAGAAGGCCGGGCTCAGTGGCTTAAGCTGGGAGAGACTTATGTTCAGCAGTGGACGGTTTCGGGCTGATGATGATAACGATGATGTTAAATTTCTTAGAAACTTACGTAACAATTTAATTTCCTTTGCAACTGGGAAGAGAAAGAGAATTCACACATATAATTGGCTCTTTTTTTATTTATCTGTGTAAACGAAACATATTTCTCCTATTTTCAGAACGGTACCCTGAAAATAATCGACAGAAGAAAACACATTTTCAAATTGTCACAAGGCGAATATATAGTTCCTGAGAAAATTGAAAACATTTACATTAGAAGTCAGTACGTTGAGCAAGTCTTTGTTCACGGTGAATCATTGAAGGTAATTGTGTGAAATTTATATGAAAACAATTGAAACCCAATGATCGTTTGTTTTTATTGTTATTATACACGTGACGTCAACTATGTTTCAATTTTACATGGACGTAAATTCTGTTATTTTGGAAGAATTTTTATTTTGTTTGGCCCAACTTAACTTTTTACAATACTGTAATATTGTTTAATACTAATCTAGTTCCTCATGTGAGTCCGCGCGGGTAGGTACCACCGCCCTGCCTATTTCTGCCGTGAAGCAGTAATACGTTTCGGTTTGAAGGGTGAGGCAGCCGTTCTAACTATGCTTGAGACCTTAGAACTTATATCTCAAGGTGGGTGGCGCATTTATGTCGTCGATGTCTATGGGCTCCAGTAAGCACTTAACTCCAGGTGGACTGTGAGCTCGTCCACCCATCTAAGCAATAAAAAAGGACCTACTTTTTCTAACCTTTTAATTTGATGTGTTTTATTGAAAGGTTTAACATTTTTTTTTAGTCCTGCGTGGTCGCCATAGTTGTACCGGACGTGGATGTCGTTAAATGCTGGGCTTTAGAATACGGTATCAAAGGAACCTTCTCATCTCTGTGCGAGGATGAACGAGTGAAGAAGGTCATCATGGAGGACATGCTTCAGTGGGGCAGGAACGCTGGCCTGAAAACTTTTGAACAGGTATATACTTTGTAATTTTGTATTAGACGTTGCATCCGAATCACATTTGGGAATGGGATACTGGTAACTCGAAATGGGACCTATATTTTCATAGGTTCTAAATGGAAGAATGCGGTCTATTTCTAAAAGTATCTGGCTTCATTTATAATTAAACATTCATAATAACAAAAAAAAAAACGTGAATACTTACATATATTTATATCAAGATGATGCAAAATGAAAAGGCGGCTAATAGTTAATCCGTGAAACATTTCAATTTTATATGCTTATCCTTAAATATTTACTATTTTACAAACACATAGTTCTGTTACAGTTTTGTTTTCAATATATGAGGTAATAAGTTGAATAAATGGATTTAAAATTATTAATTGGTGATGTAAACAGTGTTTGATATTTGGTTTTGGTCGTTGTATTGATCTTATCATAACCTTAGGCCTTACAGACCAGGGTAGGCCTTAGCCTCTCCAGATTCTTCTATTCATGGCTTTCTCCTTCCAGTTTTTGACTCTAAGCCCTTTGAAGTCCTACTCCACGCCATCTAATAATTATCTGAGTTTAGGTCTGCCACGACTTACTGCCATATAGCCTCGGCATTCTGGTTTCTTTTATTCTAACCACGTGCTCATCTTAGGAGTCCAATTTCAATAGTTTTTGTTATATGAGTATAAATAATCCATTTGTTGTATATTATTATATAAAACAAATAATGGAATTAGCGCGTCCTCCTTATACTGTTTTCCTGCACAACACCGAAAATTCGTCAAAGGATCTTATACTCGAATACATAGTTGGTTTTTTTCTTTATTGCTGAGTACCCAAGTTAGTATGGGTGTCAGAAGGGTTTTACTGAGGAGAATTTTGATATTTCGTGACAGAATTTTAGAATAGAAATACTAAAACAGCCCCAAGTAGGTTTTGTTCGCCAACAGTTTCTTTTATGTTGTAATGATTTATTCTTCTTATTTATACACTCTTGTTGAAGATCGTATCCGGGAAAATCCTTTGTTGGCTAATCTAATTATTCATTTTTAATGCTAAGCTGTCTCAATGTGTAATATTATAGGTGTTGTACAAAATTCATGTGCGCTATGAGTTAACGAAAGAGCAATATTTGCTCCTGAGTCCTAATTAGTGGTAGTGAGTATTGTGAGCCCGCTGTTTAAGAAGAAACACTGTTTGCGTATTATCCATACAAATCCCTTTCCCTGTTCGGTTTTTGTTCAATGTTTTTATACAAAGCGGTGCTGTAGTTGTTCTAATGGAAAAAACGGGTTAATACGAAAAGTTAGCTTTCTACATTGGTGTTTTCATCAGTATGTCGTTACGTGCGTGTCATTCTTGTTCAGGAATGTCTTGGGTAGGTATAAGTATATTTTTTTAAATGGACTCTCCAAATTATTGAATTATTGTGTCTCATAATCACGTTTTAATTTATCATTTTGTAAACCAAAAGCTCCTTTGCCTGTGTCTACGGGAAAAAAAAGATTTTTGAAGATTTGTTGTGACGCTTTTTTAACAGATCTTACACTAATCCCGTTTTAATTTTCCCATTTGTGTTTTAAATTTTTTACCATTATCTTCTCGATTTTAATTTAGGTTCTTCTGATATTGTTTCTTCATTTTCTATTTTCTTATTTTTTTTTAGACTTTGCCCTTGTAGGTAGACGGGCATACGGCTCACCTGACGGTGAGTAGTTACCGTCGTCTATGGACGTCAGCAATGCCAGGGGTAAAACCAATCCGCTGCCTACCGTTAAAGCCCCTGTCACTATTTTATAGCAACGAAACTTGTCATAAAATTTTACAACAGTAAAAATATTAGACTACACTGTGACTATAACAAAATATAAATCATAGCATTCATTTGTTGGTACCGTGAAACCTGGCAACTTTGCCACTTTTTGGCGGATAAAAAAGTTTGGAAAGGTTTTTCTTAAAAAATATCTATGAGAATATAAAAAAAAAGCAATCAATCAGCTTGAAAGTGTATTTTATGCATAGTTGAAATGTAATCAAATATCTATTGTTTTTTTAAATATTATTGATATTTAAGTCCAAAAACAAAAATGGCAAAGTTAACCATCACTTGTGGTAAGATTGCCATATCCAAATTTTGAATGAAATAAATGGAATTACTATAAAATGTCACTGCTTGCTGTCATTGCCACATGCTTGGTCACAGTAAAAATATACTAAAATCTTATCTTAATCTCGACTAGCAAAGGAAATATTTACGATGTGGCAAATTTACCCACCCTTTTTAGACTTTTTCAAACAAAATAGAAATAAGTGTCAGGGTTGTCACAAGATAAAAAATATCAGGTTTTAAAAAAACTTTAATAAATATAGGGCACCTACATGTTCTTCACATTTATGTACTATATCAACATTAAGATGGCTTGAAAGATTGTCGCCTATAATATATAACTTTGGACCATCCAGTTTGTTTGCCCATGGTATGATTTAAACCAGTTTTGGAAAACTGTCGGGTGTGTATAAATGTAAAAAAAAAACTGGAATCGCGTTTCGTCCCATTACAGACGATGTAGTGCAGCCGACTTACATACATATATATAAAATAGGGGGATATTTCTTCACCCATGAAAGACACTAGATATTTTAAAGCCATATAATGCTACTTATTTAGGATGTCGGCAAAAAAAAAAAAACACCAAGTTCTATAAGTTAACACTTGGATAGTACAGTCAGTTACAAGCCTGTATCGGTGTTATCATTCAAGGTTATTTGAACTTAAAATAACTTGACACAATCAATCTTCGTTCGTGTAAATGCAATTTCTATTTACGTACCAATTAATTAATTTACTGATTATTCATATTGAAACGAAGATTAAATGTCGTAAACGGTGTTCTTTTAATATACAACTTTAATGATCTGGAAATTTCCGTGCTATTTCGATAAACGCAATAAATTTTGATAGCACACGTGGGGCTTTTTCAAATTAACTGATTGCTCTATGATTTTATTTTCAAGATTTAGATTCGTTTTATGTATTACTTAATCTTTGATCGTTATTTATTTAACTATTTGAAAAAAAAGTACTAGGTATTTAAAAAGGATAATAATGATAAAAGTTTATCAATAGTTACTAAACAAATAATAAAATGAAACAAAAGTCAATTGACAAACAGAGAAATTGGTACTTCATTTTTCGTCTCGCCTATTACCTATGTATATTCATTTATACATTTTTTCGAAAGAAAAACAATGGTTTACGTTTTTTGTCTATACATCTAAACAATACATATATACAATATATTTTTTGGTTTTATCTGTATTGCTCTATCATATTTTTAATACTAAAATACTCAAACCTTATTTATTTACAGGTAAAAGATATATACTTGCATCCGGATCCGTTTTCGGTACAGAACGGCCTACTGACGCCAACGATGAAGGCAAAGAGACCAGAAATACGAAGTTATTTCAAACCGCAAATAGAGGACATGTACAAGCAACTTGAATAACGGTAGCGAGCACAATGCACTAATTAAACTGTAGAGGCATGTTGTTTGACGGAGACGAACTTTAGTGGATGGCTGTAATATTGTAATTGTTGATGAATACTCGTACACACTTTGAATTCGATGGAAGAAGTAAATTCGATAACGCAATGTAATTTGTAATGAATGATGAGTGAATAAGTTGGGAATTTGTGATTTAAAAAAAAAAAAACGAAGCTTGAGCAATGTGGGGTTGTTTATCTTATTTCGTTGTATGTTTATACGTGAGTCGACTATTATCAAAGCCAGCAATGTGACTTTTGGACAATTATTGGTAAATCAGAAAAACGAATTATTGACTTGGTATTCCATTGGCAGTCACAAAACTCTTCTGAACGACATCTTAGATAAATAACAGGTTAAGTATTAACCTTTATTTAATGCAGGTTTTGAACCGTATTCTTTGAAGGAGACGAATATATTCAAATCAATCTGTATCGACATATCAATAACATTTTTTTGTCCAAATGCACAGATTGCCACCTTTGATAATAGACGACTCACGTAACAGCAAATCCCATTCAAAAGAAACCATTTTGAGGAAAACGCATCGAAACTAGTCCTAAGATGGCGTAGCAATTTAAATTTTAGAGATGAGTGTAAAGAAGAGTGAGTGAGAAGATCTCGCTATCACTGTTGCACGCCCACGACTTTATGGTAGTGACGTCATAAACTATTTTGTGCATTCTTTTGTTATTCAGCTACCGTAACCACCAAGATTTAAAATATTTCGAACTTACACATTTTTGAACTCGATTGATTGACTGATTTAATTTTTTGATGGATTTGTTCAATTTTGGATAACATGAGTTTTGAGTATAATTAAAATCCTCTTTGAACATTTTTTTCGAAATCGACGGATTGCGTATTATCAATTAAATGTAATGTGGACAATAATATTGAGTTCGTGAATGACGTTAATTTTACTGAAACCTAATATTAATATAATTTGTAGTATTAAAATGTGACTGAAGATTGGTTATGTAACGCTTACATTGTTTGTTTCATCACTTTTGCAGATTGAGGTCATCATTTCGCTTACATTCTGCTTATTATTACATATTTATTGATACAACTTATTTGTTGATAATAATTTCAATAAGAGGCTAATTTATTCGAATGTTATATCGAAAGTGATGAAATAAATAACGAACTAACATTAAGTACAACCGTTTTATACTATTCATCACTTTTCACTCAATTAAGCTGATGCGGAATTTAAACTCTCTATATTATAAATCATAGAAGCTAAATTGTAAATAGGAATAATGATAATAATGTCTATTAGAAAGGCAATAAGTAAACTAAAAATTTGAAACGGAAACTTCGTTTCTTGTGCGGTCAATTAATTTTGATTGGATTTTTAATCTTAAAATGCATTTTAGCTATACACACATTATGACAAACATTTCTAGATTAAACTTTAAGACCATAATTTTTTTGGGATATTTGTCTCTTTGCTTTCATTTACTATTGTTCGACACTTACAGTCGATTCCGATAAAATAAGATCCACTGAAGAGCTTGAGCTACAATCGTTGAAAGCAAAGTAATTAATTATATGCTATGATGCAGCAAATTACTGCCAAACGCATTGATAATAAATATTCCTCGGAACAGCGATTTCGTAATTAACTTATTTAATTAAAGAAGTCAAATGCAGCGTTGTTTCTTTTCAAACAAACAAAAACAAATTAACATAATATGTCACGTATATTTAAGGAGAATCGGCACTTTTTTCTCGGTAGGGCATGTTTTTGATTCGTGTGCCTGTGGGTAATGTGCGTCGCGATTAAAACTGGATTCTCATCAATAGCAGAAGCTACATCGATATCACTTAATTTTTTGGTTACATAATGGAGAATGGTATTTTGAAATTGTTTAGCACAATAATGTGGAGTTACAGAATAATGTTCACGTATTAACAACGAATGGTCCTTTGTGTTTCATGAATCAACTGGTATAGATTCCGAATTAATCTTAACTATGTTAAGGGAGATTCGTTGTACCTAACCCGTGCATCAGCCCGCTGAGTTTGCGATTCGGATTCGGTAGTAGATTCATTCGCGAAGCAGCTCTTGAGCCCCGATAGAGGCACCCGTCACGTGCGGACGTGCCCATCGACCACTCGATCGCCCGGCCTTTGTTCGCCCGGCTTTTGTTAGCCCGGCCATTGTTCGCGCGGCCTGTGTTCGTGGTACATCTGCCGACCAAGTGTTTTTTCCTGGAAGTTTTTATTTGTTTTGTTTCCTTTCGTTATTTCTGTGTTCGTGGTACATCTGCCGACAAACTNCATAAAAAAAAAAAAAAAAAAAAAGCTCTTGAGCCGTTATGTCTCCTTTGGAGACGCTCGGGCAGCTGTTAGCAAATCCCACCCCTCCTGGCTGAGCCCTTGCTCGCCCACCTGTCCTGGTGAAACTAAAAAACCCTCCGGGCCACCAGTAATCCTTTAATCATAAAAAAAGATTCGTTGTGACCAGCGTTTCCATCTGTGCTCAATTTGGAATTTGGAAATTTGGACATTTTTTTTTTCAATTCCTTTTGAACGTTTCATGTTATGGATACCGAATCATCTAAAAATGACTCTCACCCTATTTAGAGATGAGATCTTAAGTCGTTAACCTTTTTGCATCTCTTGAATTTCCATTAAATGTTTCCTCCTACTTTTAAATTTCTTTGTTGTCTTCAATTGGTGAGATTTCAGTTTTGATTCAGAAGTATGAATCTCCAATATTATTATGACTACTTTCATGATTTTTACACGGTGTGAGTATGCGTATGTTTAGGATCACCTAAAGCACCATGTAGTGGATTTTTTTCGTAAACTCTTAGTATTAAGTAAGTCGATCCTTGCTTTGAGCGTAAGTCGAAAGGTTTCATGTTGTTCAAACCAAAATTTTGTTGTTATCGGTGCAAGTTGTACTATGATAATTTATTTTTAAATAAAATTTAAAAAAATTATAATAATGTTTTCATTTATTCTATTTATTTCTTCTATAATAAATTTACCTTCCGCATTGGTTACATTGTTGCATATCAGATGTGAATGTAACATATCCATTAATATTGAAGGTTTAACGTTTATATTTTTATGTTCAATTACTTGATGTTGTTGAATTTTCGGAAAATCATTAACCTGATTTTAAAGAAATACCTTATTTGGTTTTGTACGAGTGCACATGTTTTGTCGTGTCTAAAGCTTAAGACGTCTGGTATAGTCGTGTCAATGGTACTGTTTTTAAGGTAAGGTAAGACGTCTTCTCTAATGTCTTTCACGATTGTGATGATAACGGGTACTGGCGTTGGAGCGTGCTGTAAAGCTGCATCAGTAAATAGTTATATAACAAAAAACTAAAGCTTTGACTACACACGTATGAAGCAGTTCCATATCGGATTCAAGCAATCAAAGCCGTCGTCGTCTGAAACATGTCTTGTCAGATCGCCTGGATCCACTCTCAGTGCTTTTTGGTTCTTCAAGCACCGATCTCCGTCTTCGTCAAACTCGTCGATTACGACGAAGACTTCGATGACCGAACTAGCCCATAGACATAACCCACTGAATTTATCGCCGGATCTTCTCAGTGGGTCGCGATTCCGATCCGGTGGTAGATTCTGTTAAGCACTGCTTTTGCTAGGGCTAGTGTTAGCAAATTCTCTCAGGTTGAGCCTGTGAGCTCATGTACTCGTCCAGGTGTAGCTGTAATAGCCTCTTAGGCTACCAGCGAATAGTTATGAAAAATTGGTGATATGAAATGGCTAACAATGTCCAAGGATTATTATATTATGATTCTTATTAAATTTTATGCTGAACTAGTAAAAACGTGGGCTCCAGTAAATACTGAATACCAGGTGGGCTGTGAGCTCGTCCACCTATCTAAGCAATAAAAAAAACTCTTCCATAGTATCATCGTTTTATTTTCCCACAAAGCCCCTTCTAATTTTTATCTTATATAGCGTGCTGTAAGACCATACGGCTCGGCCCGTCATCCTCTTTAGTACTATCGCAAAGCTACGGCTTTCTTTAGTTGGAAGGGCTTAAAAAGCCTCTGAGGATGCTAAGACGACTTTCTAAATTAAGTTTCAATTGCATTGAATTTTATTGCGTTATTATACTGTAAGGTTACTTTTACTACTGGTACGATAGAAATATGCCAGTTGTAATAGCTCAAGGAGACTAAGCTCGCAAATTTAATTAATGACCGAACAGACATATATCACCATCTGATTGATAGCTAAAAAGGACTAAAATAAATAATGAAATATAAGGCAGAATTCGTTTAGGTTCAAATGAAGTACGTATTGTGTTAAAAATGTTACATATAGTCATAAATAAAATATAATGATAGACTGCAACGTCAATTACGAGTATTAAAACTGGATTTTACTGGTGGTAGGACCTCTTGTGAGTCCGCACGGGTAGGTACCACCACTCTGCCTATTTCTGCCGTGAAGCAGTAATGCGTTTCGGTTTGAAGGGTGGGGCAGCCGTTGTAACTATAATTGAGACCTTAGAACTTATATCTCAAGGTGGGTGGCGCATTTACGTTGTAGATGTCTATGGGCTCCAGTAACCACTTAACACCAGGTGGGCTGTGAGCTCGTCCACTCATCTAAGCAATAAAAAAATAAAAATAAAATATCAACCATGACGAGACATAAAATTTTCAACACTTTTTTATGTTCAGTTCAAGTGAGTTCCAGTTTTGATTTAATTGGTTGTTACGAGCTATATCTTCTGAGAATCCATTTTGATAAGTAGTAACCAGCAGCGGAAATGACACTTGGGTAAGTGAATAAAATTGAAAGCCAATTAATCATGTCACCCAAAATGATGTCATAGTGATTGACAGATCCCAGAATGTCGACATTAAAATAATAATGTTATGCCATACCTTATTTAAATTATCATTAGCATTATATTGTGATACAGCACAAATTGTATTAGGTTATCATCTAGCATTGTAGTAGGCTATTAGAAGAAGAGCCGTAATATATCGCCGATGATTTTAACTTCCATTATTCCGTTCTAAGAAATATTTAGTAACCGTAACTACTACTAAATAGTTCTTATAACTGATTTTATAAGTAGCTTTGTCGATCCAGTTAATTAATTGTAAATGATAACCGTCACTTTTAATAAAAAGACGTATAAAGCTGTAAACCTTGCAATGATTCTTGTGCAACTGTGTAATGTTATTGTGTAGGTGTAAATTATTGTTGATAATTAGTGCCTGGTTTAAAAAAAACGTGTGGCACTCGGGAACTGCCACGGTAAAGCTATTGCATAGGATTTTTTATCAACTTATGCAATTATAATTAGACAATGA